GGGTTTTCTAACATTTTCTTTCGTTCATTCGTTTCGCTCTCGAGTTCGTCTCATTATTCCATTGTGTTTGCTCAGCAAGGAAGCTTCGAAGGAGTTCGAGTCGAGTCGGCGTCGCTCTATTGGTCATCTCCTTTGAGGCTCTTCCGTCAAGTGGCCGCAAAATCAATCACACCTGACGGCGTTTCGGCGCTCCTTGGAGCCTGCTATTCTTTTGAAACCCAAAGAAGAGGCTGGATTGAAGACTCAAGGTGCTGCTGGGATTGTTTTGAAGCAAAAGCAGGAAGTGGTGACAGAATCTGCTGTGGAGATTCTAAACGATCAACATAAGTGAGTAGTATTCTTGTGTTCTCGTTTCATTTCAAATCGTTCTGAGATTTAATGGTTTTTCATTTTGATTTTTTTTTAAATTTTTCCCTCTTTTATTTTAGTTCGGCTCCTGCTGCACGCTTGGCAATGACGCGTAGGGTGCGTCCTCTCGTTTCGTTGAATCCTTATCAGGGTAATTGTTTCAGTTGTAGCTACCTTTTCTATTTTGTTTGAAATTTTAAAATTGCTCATACTTATTATTAGAATTATTATACTAATCCATGTTGAACTAATCAAACTGAATTAATTTATTATTACAATTTAGGAGTTAATTTCTTATTACAATTTCCTATACATTTTTTATAACTAGATAGATTATCTTTATTTCTCTTATAAACCCTGCACTTTTAACTAGATAATATTATGACTCTTTCTATAACTTGGTTTCTCATTATCTCTTTGATAGGTAATTTCATTGGATTTAACATTAGCTATTAAACTATTCATCAATACAAGAGTTGAAGATTCTCGGTTTGGGGTTTAGAGCCACCACTTTGATGATAAATGGCTAGTTGATGGAGCTTCAAACATTGGTGGAGCAATTGTATAAGTAGTTTAGTTTACTACTATGTAAAAGATAGTCAGTTCTTATTATTTGATAATTTGATACTATTTTTTGTTAATTTGACAGTTGTGTTTGACATTTATCAAATATATAAAACTTCTAATTATTGGATGTAAAAATGGGATTATTTAATTTTTTTTATAAAGCCATAAAGTTATACATACGAATTTTTCTGTATGGATATTTCTGTATGTAAGTATATTGATAAGTTATATACGGATAAATCTGTATATAACTTATATACGGATTTATCCGTATATATCTTATATACGGATTTATCCGTATATAATTTACATATGGATAAATACGTATTATATACGGATAAATTCGTATATAACTTAACTACAACAGTTTTATATAGAAATTTTTGCACGTATATAAGTCGTATGTAACCAAGTGTTACATATGGATTTTGGGCCTTATATATGGATTTTGGCTGTATGTAATTCAATTTTTCTTGTAGTTGTCTCGGTTGGTCAGAGAACCGAGGCAGTAGGCCTATTTTGAAAAAGTTGTCAGGTGAAAAGTCTGATTTTTACATTGGGTTAGGAGGATTTTTTGCCTCCGTTGGTCAAAGAACCGAGACAGTATACTCCTTTAGGCATCGGTTCACATTGAACCGAGGGATATAGTGTCGCCAAAATTACGAAATATCCAACGTGTTTTTATACGCTCCAGTTTTTTTGAAACCGAAGCATAATGTGCAAGTTAAAAAGTTGTTTATTTACTAGTGATTATTCCAAAGAAAATCTTAGCACAAATTTACTCAAAATCTAAGGACATAAAGAAAAAAGATAACCAAATACTAGTACATGCTTAACCAAGTTGAGATTATTACTCTTATTAAGGGGTTAACAATAATGATGACAAAATCAGAAGATGATAAATAATCTTTAGAATAAATAAAAACTTTCTTTATTTGAAAACTTGATCCATTAAAAATGGTCTATAACACATAAGCTATTAAAGATTGTGGCCAGATTCTAAAAGAAAGGAGCTAAATGAAATAAAATATATAAGAAAGATAAACTATTTTAAAAAATCAAGAAGAAAAGAAAAAGAAGATGGGAGTTGGAGATGATGACTTGGTAAAAATTCAACTTAAACATTAAAGTAAAATATAAAAAAAAAATCATTAATAGTAAGGATAATTGATTACTATTATAGGTATGTAAACATTCAAACCCTAAATATGATGAAAAACAACATCTTTGCTTCTAACTAGTGAGTGGTAATGTAGATTAACCCAGTTTGTTTAGGCTTAACCCGCACTTGGCCCGCAATATGCAGGCTAGGTTGACCATTGGAATAAAATACATAGGTTGAAAATACTAGCCCACCCCATATTGGAATTAGGTGCATACTCATAAGTTGGCTTGCATACTTGACTTGAACTTCTTTTTCTCAACTAATGAAAAATTTCATACTTCTAAATGAAGTGATTGAAATTTTTTCACCTGTATATAGTGGTTGAGCAATTTTCGCAATTTTCATATCTAGTTCAACAATTTTAGCAAAATGAAGTGATTGAAACTTTATACTATTACATTCTCATCAAACTTAATAGTCATACATGTTATTATGACTGTTATGTGAGTGTGTTATTGCAAGATGAGAAGAGATTATAATGACGAACNTCTATAACTTGGTTTCTCATTATCTCTTTGATAGGTAATTTCATTGGATTTAACATTAGCTATTAAACTATTCATCAATACAAGAGTTGAAGATTCTCGGTTTGGGGTTTAGAGCCACCACATTGATGATAAATGGCTAGTTGATGGAGCTTCAAACATTGGTGGAGCAATTGTATAAGTAGTTTAGTTTACTACTATGTAAAAGATAGTCAGTTCTTATTATTTGATAATTTGATACTATTTTTTGTTAATTTGACAGTTGTGTTTGACATTTATCAAATATATAAAACTTCTAATTATTGGATGTAAAAATGGGATTATTTAATTTTTTTTTATAAAGCCATAAAGTTACATACGAATTTTTCTGTATGGATATTTCTGTATGTAAGTATATTGATAAGTTATATACGGATAAATCTGTATATAACTTATATACGGATTTATCCGTATATATCTTATATACGGATTTATCCGTATATAATTTACATATGGATAAATACGTATTATATACGGATAAATTCGTATATAACTTAACTACAACAGTTTTATATAGAAATTTTTGCACGTATATAAGTCGTATGTAACCAAGTGTTACATATGGATTTTGGGCCTTATATATGGATTTTGGCTGTATGTAATTCAATTTTTCTTGTAGTTGTCTCGGTTGGTCAGAGAACCGAGGCAGTAGGCCTATTTTGAAAAAGTTGTCAGGTGAAAAGTCTGATTTTTACATTGGGTTAGGAGGATTTTTTGCCTCCGTTGGTCAAAGAACCGAGACAGTATACTCCTTTAGGCATCGGTTCACATTGAACCGAGGGATATAGTGTCGCCAAAATTACGAAATATCCAACGTGTTTTTATACGCTCCAGTTTTTTTGAAACCGAAGCATAATGTGCAAGTTAAAAAGTTGTTTATTTACTAGTGATTATTCCAAAGAAAATCTTAGCACAAATTTACTCAAAATCTAAGGACATAAAGAAAAAAGATAACCAAATACTAGTACATGCTTAACCAAGTTGAGATTATTACTCTTATTAAGGGGTTAACAATAATGATGACAAAATCAGAAGATGATAAATAATCTTTAGAATAAATAAAAACTTTCTTTATTTGAAAACTTGATCCATTAAAAATGGTCTATAACACATAAGCTATTAAAGATTGTGGCCAGATTCTAAAAGAAAGGAGCTAAATGAAATAAAATATATAAGAAAGATAAACTATTTTAAAAAATCAAGAAGAAAAGAAAAAGAAGATGGGAGTTGGAGATGATGACTTGGTAAAAATTCAACTTAAACATTAAAGTAAAATATAAAAAAAAAATCATTAATAGTAAGGATAATTGATTACTATTATAGGTATGTAAACATTCAAACCCTAAATATGATGAAAAACAACATCTTTGCTTCTAACTAGTGAGTGGTAATGTAGATTAACCCAGTTTGTTTAGGCTTAACCCGCACTTGGCCCGCAATATGCAGGCTAGGTTGACCATTGGAATAAAATACATAGGTTGAAAATACTAGCCCACCCCATATTGGAATTAGGTGCATACTCATAAGTTGGCTTGCATACTTGACTTGAACTTCTTTTTCTCAACTAATGAAAAATTTCATACTTCTAAATGAAGTGATTGAAATTTTTTCACCTGTATATAGTGGTTGAGCAATTTTCGCAATTTTCATATCTAGTTCAACAATTTTAGCAAAATGAAGTGATTGAAACTTTATACTATTACATTCTCATCAAACTTAATAGTCATACATGTTATTATGACTGTTATGTGAGTGTGTTATTGCAAGATGAGAAGAGATTATAATGACGAACTCTGTGTTGTGCTTCGCGAGAGCGAAAGAAAAACACAAAAGATGAACGAGAAATAAAACAAATAGTAAGTGAGTGAGACGCGTTTTGAAAAAAATAATTAAGATTTTAGATAGTTTACGGGTCATCAGATTAATTCATCTCATCTCATTGTAGACATGTACAAACAAATTATACAGATTCAACTTATGCGGACCAACAGACTAAAAGAACCTTACTTGTCTCAAATCCAGAGTGAACCACCCCCACATTGTCATTCCTACTTCTAACTTAGCTAGAAGTACACGCTTTTAATATACCCAATTAATGAAAATCACTTAGGTTAAACAAAAGTTAAATTAATTTGCTGGTGAACTCTTTGAAACTATATACTTAAATTTTGTCCTTAAACTTTTACTTTCCTATATTGATTTTAAAATTTGTTCAACGCCGCTGAAATCGGTTTACTAACACTTCCTCCTCCAAGATAAAATAAATATTGGAGGAAAATTTTGATGGCATTGAATTAGTATGATGTAAAAATTTACTATAATCACTTAAAACTACAAATTTCAGCTACATTAATAGATAGGTACCACCCACACACAGCTATTTTCTTTTAGAAAAGGTAATATTCTTTTGAAGTGTTTGGGATGAAATGAGAAAACTTTATAAATCATTAAAAACCAGAAAACTATTATTCATAGTTTATTCTCTCTCTCTTTCTTTCTTAACTAACTAGTATGGAGGTTGGAACCAAAATAAAATTTGAAGAGAAACAGGTAAGAGAGATTATTGAGAGTTGTGCAGAATATTAAAAGGGTTGTTCCCTTTAACTCTCACTCACTGCCAGTGCATATGCCAGCCAGTTCAGAAATATATATTTTTCTTTCCAAACTCCATTAAAACACTTCTGCCACCACCTTCCTTTCACAAACCTTCTCACTCAGATCTCTCCTTCACACACCAAATAGCTACCTGCTTTCACCTTTTCAATTTTTCTATGTAAGAATCACTCAGCGTTCACATTGTGTACTCAAAGTTCATTCATCACCAACAACTACAGCATTTTATCACTGGTTCCATCAAGATTATTTCATCAGAACATAGTTGCAGTTAAAGAGTTGATATCCAACAACAATGCAAGACGCAATTGGGATTCCAGCTTGCTTCTCTTCGGCTTTGAAATCAAGTGATGATCACACAACCGTGACCCGTTCAGGCCAGAGCGTGCACATGTCCGTCTACAGAACAAAGATTGCTGACCACTGCCGCTTGATCACCGTCACATGGTGTAAAAACTTGATGCTCCATGGCCTCTCAGTCTCAGTGGAAGGCCCAGAGGGGGAGGCACAGTACAGCTGCAAGGTCGAGCTCAAACCATGGTACTTTTGGAGAAAACAAGGTTCCAAGCGGTTCCTCGTACACGGTAACAAAGCCGTTGACGTTTTCTGGGACCTTAAGGCTGCGAAATTCAACGGCGAGACGGAACCAACCTCGGAGTACTACGTTGCAGTGGTGTGCGAGCAAGAGGTGGTACTCCTGGTGGGTGATTTGAGGAAAGAAGCGTACAGAAGAACCGGGTGCAGACCAGCACTGATTGACCCGATTCTGATTTCGAAAAAAGAGCACATCTTTGGGAAGAGAAAGTTCTCGACAAGAGCGAAGTTTGAGGAGAAGGGTAGGTGCCATGAGATCTCAATCGAGTGCAAGAACAAAAGCGACATCGGAGGGGAATCGCCGTCAAGTGGGGTTCAAGTTCAGCCAGAGATGGAGATAAGATTGGACGGGCACGTGATGATCCACGTGAAGCACTTGCAGTGGAAGTTCAGAGGGAACGAATCAATTCATCTGAACAAGATGAGAGTGGAAGTGTATTGGGATGTGCACGATTGGCTCTTTAGTCCTGGTTTGAAACACGCTTTGTTCATTTTTAAACCTGTTTTATCATCCATGTTGTCCATGTCTGTGTCATCATCGTCGTCAACATCCACACCATTATCGACTCAAACGGGGAGTTCTGGATCCTTGGAGGGGTTCAGTGTGAACGAATCATCGGAATTTTTCTTGTTTCTATATGCTTGGAAGGTTGAGTAAAAAAATGGTGAGTATATGGAAATGTTGATGAAGATTGAGATTGGTGTGAGAGTTGTGTGAGAGAGAGAGAGAGAAGGGTGGTGGGGCCAGAGAGAGAGAGAGAGTGAGGGATCTTGGGGAGTTAGTTACAGCTGGGGTTGAACAATTGTGCATAATGGACAAAAGGGATTGAATCACAGACACATGCCCAATAATTCTGCATGCGTCCACGTCTATCTACATCTGTCATCTACTGTTTTCGAATTTCTCTCTCTTCGTCTCATCTTGAGAACAGAGCTATGTATATGAAATATGCAATATGCTTCTTTTTTTATTAAATTGTAAAGGTTATATATATAACATAAATATAGACAATAGATTATTGAAGTGGATGTCTGTATTGGCCATGAAAAGCTATTGCATGTGACTCACTTTCCGTGAAGAATGGGTGTTTGGTGATGATGTAGACTTTTACACACCAAGGAAAACCTTACTATTAATCTATTGGTTCATATTAGATTTAGAGTTTCTCTTCGTCACTCTTTTATTATTATTATTATTATTATTATTATTATTATTATTATTATTATTATTATTATTATTATTATATATATATATATAAGGAGTTTGTTAACACGTACGTCTATTTTTTAGTCGGTACATTTTAGTAATGTGTACCAGATTTTAGTAGACAAAAATACCCTTATATATCATGGATTTTAAGTTTTAAGGTTAAGAGTATTTTAATAATTTTCATTCTCAAAACTAAAAAAAAAAATTAACAAACCCCATATATATATATATATATATATATATCATTTTTTGAAAATGTTTATCAAAATGTTCATAATTACGTTGATAAATAAACTAAACATATATCTCTTAATTAATAGCAAAATAAATAATCCTAATAATAATATTTAAATATTTTTTAAGTTGATGCATACAAATTTTGAATGTCTAACTTGTTAAAAAAACTCAAATTATGTGTTTTTTAAGACTAATGTAAAAAATGTATGTTAATTATATCTTAATACGAACATATAAGAGACAAATGGTACCAATCATCACCTTATTACGAAAAATTGACAATTAATTTTAATATATTTTTTTTTCACGAAAAATTATATTATGAGCAATATGTAATGTTGACTATCACAATATAATTACATCTCTTTAGAATTATTAACTCCGAACTCATCAAGTAACTTTTTGAGTAATTTTAACTCATGTAATCATTGTCATAGATCGATATTCACTCTTTCCAGAAGAGTGAGAAACAATTGATTGTTTCTTCGTTTTCTAAAATACTAGACAAAGACCAAGAAGCATTATCCAACCAATCAAAGAATTTGAATCACACCATCCTTGTAATTGTAGTTTACTTTTAGACCATAGTAAAATACCTTGTTTTAGTTTCTTCAAATATCTAATAACCTTTAAGGTTGCCTCCGAATGCTCTTTACGAGGTTTCTGCATAAATTGAGATAATATGTAGATAGAATAAGCAAGATCAGGTCGAGTCACAGACAAATAAATTAATCATCCAATTAGTCTTCTATAGAGTTTTAGGTCTTGAAGAATTGTACCAGAAGCCAACGCTAGTTTATGGTGTTGTTCTAATGAAAAATCCACAACATTGACACCTAATAAACCTGTGTCTTCGATGATTTCCAATACATATTTTCTCTGACAAAGCAAAACCCAGGGATTACAGGCTACCTCCAATCCCAAAAAATATTTTAAGACTCCCAAGTCCTTCACATGAAAGCAAGAACCTAGGTAAGCTTAAAATTTGTCATCAAAGTTAAAATATTGTTACCTACAATAATTAAATCATCCACATAGGCTAGCATACAAAGTTGTATATCTCCCTTGTTCAATATAAATAATGAGTGATCTGAATAAGATTGGCCAAGACCATAATGCTTCAATGTCGTAATGAACATAACAAACCAACAACTTGTTTTAATCCATACAATGACCTTTTCAACTTGCAAACCAACTTTGGGTCGATGTTTTTAAAACCTAAAGGAATTTTCATGTACACCTCTTCAACTAAATCAATATAAAGAAACACCTTATATACATCCATTTGATGAACTTCCCATTTTTTAATTGTTGCCAATGGCAAGAAGGTACATACAATCACCATTTTTGCCACCAAAGAAAAAGTTTCATCATAGTTTATGTCCTATATTTGATGATGTTCAAATATAAAAATTCTTGCTTTCAAATGTTATATCTTCCCATATGAGTGATATTTTATTTTGTATAATCATTTACTTCTAAGATCTTTTTTTCTGGGCAACATTTTCTATAGAACCCATGTCTCGTTATTTTTCAAGGCTCGTCAACCATTGTTGCATACCGACTAGAATTTTTTACATTTTTCGTAAAATTTTTAGGTTCTTTCACTATTGTTAGAGCTACAACAAAATTTTGATGTCTAGCAATAAATCGTACATTATTTACAAAGTTAGTACTAAATTAAGGAGTACATGAGGTATGTTGTTGAGCACATGAACATTATGAGGATTTTACTTTTCTAAGAACATGAGTGGCAAAATCCTTATATTTTGTCAATAAAATTTTATTTCTCATCCCCCCTCCAATTTTTGTCTCCATATTTTTTTCTTGTACCACAATAACATCATCTTCATCAACATATTGTGGAGACACTACCTCATCATCCACACCACTCATACTTTCTCTTTCATTTCCACTACACTTTACATACAATCCCATTGAAGTTGTGATTGTTCTTCTTCTTGCAAGGCCACAAATGCACCCCCTTTATGAGTGATACATCATAAGTATCCCACCCAATACCATTATCAACATATTCAATATCAAAAGGAAATTTATGTTTGTAAAATTTCACATCTCTAAAGATAAAGTATTCACGAGATTCCAAATCATACAATTTCCATCCATTTTGTTGTACCCCCACAAAATTAGACTTTCGACTTCTACTAGCAAATTTATCTTCATCACGACATTGATGTGCACATAGCATAAGCAAACAAAAACTTTCATATTATTAAACTTGTGTGGTTCACCATATAATTTTTGACAAGGTGTCAAATAATTAAGCACATTAGATGGTGTGAAATTAATTAAATGAAATGTTGTTAATACACATTCACCCCAAAACTACATTGGTAAAATTACATTGAAATCTGAGTGCCCATGTCACATTTATAATATGTTGATGTTTTCTTTCCACTCTCCTAATTTTTTTGTGGAGTACTCACACAAGATGTCTCAAACACAATTCCATTCTTTAATTAAAAATCACGTAGATAGTTAAATTCGATATTGTTGTCACTCCATACTCTTTATTTATTATTTTTATATCAAATTGTATATCAACTAAGACAATAAAGTGCATAAAGATAAACATAACTTCGGTTTTATTCCATCACAAATAAATTCAAACTGAGCGGGAATAACTATCAACAATTGTTAAGTAATAATGCATGCCCACTAGATGGAGTGTGATACGGTCTCCATAAATAATAATGAACTAATTCAAGCAAACTATTTGTAGTATGCTCACTTAGTGAAAAATGACATATATCACAAGTTTTAGTATTATTGCTTCTACTAAACTGACTCACATGAGGAAGGAACTTTAACACCTTTTCTAATAGATGACTTAACATTTTATGTCACAGATTAATTGACGAATCCCTGTCAAATGTTAATGCATGTATCTTTGAAATACTAAAAAAATATAAAGTATCAACTTAAATAAATAATAAATATTTAAATTATTCAAGCATGTATTTGAAAATTCATATTATAAAATAAATAATTATAATTAAAGATGATAACAAAACTAGTAAAAAATTAATAAAGAATTATCATTAATTAATTACGAGTCGATCCATCTTCTGTTTAACCTGCTGAGTAATAAAAATTTTACCACAATTAAAAAACTGATTTATTTTCCAAATGTATTAAAAATCCATTTTTAACATTTTTTTATTATTATTGAATGAAGGTTTAGTTGATCATAAGTTGTGGTTAAAAGGTGAGAGATGGACTCGGATCAGACATCGGAAGATGGGTTGATTGTGATCCTAAAATGATCTGNATATATATATATATATATATATATATCATTTTTTGAAAATGTTTATCAAAATGTTCATAATTACGTTGATAAATAAACTAAACATATATCTCTTAATTAATAGCAAAATAAATAATCCTAATAATAATATTTAAATATTTTTTAAGTTGATGCATACAAATTTTGAATGTCTAACTTGTTAAAAAAACTCAAATTATGTGTTTTTTAAGACTAATGTAAAAAATGTATGTTAATTATATCTTAATACGAACATATAAGAGACAAATGGTACCAATCATCACCTTATTACGAAAAATTGACAATTAATTTTAATATATTTTTTTTTCACGAAAAATTATATTATGAGCAATATGTAATGTTGACTATCACAATATAATTACATCTCTTTAGAATTATTAACTCCGAACTCATCAAGTAACTTTTTGAGTAATTTTAACTCATGTAATCATTGTCATAGATCGATATTCACTCTTTCCAGAAGAGTGAGAAACAATTGATTGTTTCTTCGTTTTCTAAAATACTAGACAAAGACCAAGAAGCATTATCCAACCAATCAAAGAATTTGAATCACACCATCCTTGTAATTGTAGTTTACTTTTAGACCATAGTAAAATACCTTGTTTTAGTTTCTTCAAATATCTAATAACCTTTAAGGTTGCCTCCGAATGCTCTTTACGAGGTTTCTGCATAAATTGAGATAATATGTAGATAGAATAAGCAAGATCAGGTCGAGTCACAGACAAATAAATTAATCATCCAATTAGTCTTCTATAGAGTTTTAGGTCTTGAAGAATTGTACCAGAAGCCAACGCTAGTTTATGGTGTTGTTCTAATGAAAAATCCACAACATTGACACCTAATAAACCTGTGTCTTCGATGATTTCCAATACATATTTTCTCTGACAAAGCAAAACCCAGGGATTACAGGCTACCTCCAATCCCAAAAAATATTTTAAGACTCCCAAGTCCTTCACATGAAAGCAAGAACCTAGGTAAGCTTAAAATTTGTCATCAAAGTTAAAATATTGTTACCTACAATAATTAAATCATCCACATAGGCTAGCATACAAAGTTGTATATCTCCCTTGTTCAATATAAATAATGAGTGATCTGAATAAGATTGGCCAAGACCATAATGCTTCAATGTCGTAATGAACATAACAAACCAACAACTTGTTTTAATCCATACAATGACCTTTTCAACTTGCAAACCAACTTTGGGTCGATGTTTTTAAAACCTAAAGGAATTTTCATGTACACCTCTTCAACTAAATCAATATAAAGAAACACCTTATATACATCCATTTGATG